GTACTCAAATCTTACACCCTTCCCCATCCCTTTCACTCCTTTCTGCTCCGACTGTAGGTAGACAATCGCATTCTCGTTCATCCTTTCCGCATTTCTTTTTGCTAAAATAAGCAAATATGCTTTTTTTTTTCCTAATTTGCCCTTCTTTCTTACACAATGAATTGTGTGTGTGCATGCTCTTCCCCTGCCCCCCGAATAATCTGTGCTGGAAATCACTCCATATAACTTTTCAAAGACCATCTTTTTCATAGCTATATAGTATTCCATTGAGTTTAAATTCCATTGTTTATGCAATCATTCTCCCATATTTGGGTATTTAAGTAGTTCTCACATTTACAACTCTACAAGTAATGCAGCAATACTTAACCTCGTGTTAGCATTTTCTTCTTTTTGGAAGTATATATTGAAGAGTAGTAAATTCCTAGAAGTTGGAGTTGCTAGGTAAAAGAGCAAATGTGTATGTAGTTTTATTAAATATTGCCAAATTCCCTTCCATAGATATTGCACCGTTTCGTGTTTCTGCCAGCAATGTGTTACTCTCCATGGCCTCACCATCAGAATTTAATTGTCAAGCTTTTAACTTTTTGCCCATCTGGTGGAAAAGTATCTCACTGTAGTTTTAGTTTGCATTTTTGTTATTGAATGAAGAAGTTGTAAAAACATGATTAAGGGCCATTTTTGTATCCACTTTTGGTGAATTGCCTATTCATGTATTATGTCCACTTTTCTAAGGTTTTGGTTCCTTTTTCAATTAAATTTTATATTAAGGATATAGGATATTAAGGATATTAGCCCTTTGTCTAATAACATATTGCTAATGTAGTTTACAATGTTATTTGTATTTTGATTTTGCTCATATTTTTTTGCAACGCACTAGTTTATTTTTATTTATTTTTATACTTTTTAATGTTTATTTGTCTTTGACAGAGACAAATCAGCACAGAGCCAGAAGCGGGGCTTGAACCCACAAACTGCAAGATCATGACCTCAGCCAAAGTTGGACGCTCAACTGACAGCCACCAAGGCACTCCAATGCGCTAGTTTATTTTTAATGTCCTATTTTTCCTCCTTTTCTCTTTTTTTTTTTTTTCCCATCTGAACTTAAAAAATCTTCCTCTACACCCAGGTTATAGAGGAATTTACTCATAGTCCCTTTTTGTAAACTTACAGTTTCAAGTCATTTACATTTAGATCTCTGATTACTTAGAGTTTACTCTTGTGTAAAATTGTGAGGAATAGACCTACTTTTATCTTTTACAAATGGCTCTTCAGTTGAATGTACATCATTTACTACAGGTGCCTCTTTGCTCCAGTGATTGGTTATGTGCTAAGTTTTCGTATGTGGTGGGGTCTCTTTCTGGGTTTCTATTCCATTGTTAATGTCCATTTGCACGTTTAACTATGGAGGCTGTGTAGAGTGTTTTAATGTCTGATAAGGTTCATCACTCCTCCTAGCTTTTTTTGTTTTCAGTGTTTTCCTATTCTTTTATGTTTGTTTTCCCAAATAAACTTAAGTATCAATTTCCTGGCTGCAGCAACCAAAAAAAAAAGGGTTTTGGTATTTTAATTGGCATTGCCTAATTTGTAAATTAGGAAGAACTGACATCCTGTGAGGATGTCCTATCCAATTGATGTCTTCACATTTGTTCAAGTTTATTTTGTGTGTTTCAGAAATAGGTTTTTAACACTTTGAAAATTTAGTCTCAAGTGTTTGCCTTTTGTGTTGCTATTGTGATTACAGTTTTTTTCTTCCATCATGTATTTTTACCGGTTATTATGTTTATATATGAAAACTATTTATTTTTGCACATTAATTTTATATCTTGCTAACTTGCTAAATTGTAATATTTAATTTTTTTTTATCTTTGATACTGTAGGATTTTCCAGGTATAATTTCATGTGATCCACCAATAGAGATATTTTTCCTTCCTATTTTCCATTTTTATCCCTTTAACTTTTTCTCGCATCTAAGCGCATTGGCCTCCACTACCATGTTAATTAAAACAAAAAACTGCCAAAGTGGAGACAAGGAACATAATTTTTTTTTCTACATAATTTGGGATAATGTTACAGCAGTTAAAAAATTGTTACTGAAAGTTGCTCTGAAAATTCTGCATCTGTAGGTAGGCTTTATAAATTAACCAGTAGTAACTACATTTAAATGGAATCATACAATATATACCCTGTTTGTGTACGACTTCTTTCACAGAACATTGTGTCTGAGATACATCCATGTTCCAGCATGTTCCTACACTTTGTACTTTTTCATTGATTATAGCAGTTTATACTCTTACCAGCCATGTAAGAGGATCCTAGCTGCTCTGTATCCTCGCAATATATATATTTTATACAGTTGCTTTGCTGGATATGTGTATTACAAAATCTCCAGTCTGTGGCTTGCCTTTTTGTTCTTGAATGGTGTCTTATTGAGCAAAAGTTCTTAACAAAGTCTAGCTCATCAATGATTAATGATTACTGTGTGTGTGTCCCATTTAAGAAAAACATCCCCTATACTGAGATCATAATGAGATTCTTCTGTGTTACCTTCCAGAAAATTATCTGATTGACTTTCACATTTAACTCTCCAGTCCAGCTGGGAATTGATTCTTTATGTGTGGTGTGAGATAGGAATCGTGTTTCATTCTGTTCCATATGGGGATGCACTTGCCCCAGTACCATTTGTTGAAATGACTGTTCCTTCTCCTGCCCTGCAGAACTATTTAGTCATTTATTGAGACTACTGTCTTGGCAATTCTTGGCCCTACAACTTTTCAGAATTTTATATTTATGTATATTGCTTGTGACCTAATACAAGGTTTTGGGGTGTTTTTTTTTTAAACTTTTTTTAAGGTTTATTTATATTTGAGAGAGACAGAGCATGAGCGGGGGAAGGGCAGAAAGAGAGGGAGACACAGAATCTGAAGCAGGGTCCAGGCTCTGGGCTGTCAGCACGGAGCCCAATGTGGGGCTCAAACTCACAAACTGGGAGATCGTGACCTGAGCTGAAGTCGGATGTTTAGCCGACTAAGCCACCCGGGTGCCCCCCTAATACAAGGTTTTGACAAAAATAACTGCCTAGTTTCAGGTTGGTTATAATTTTCAGCCGTTGTCCGTTGCATTTGATTTAATTTAAATATTGATTGCATTCTCAGGCTTCACTGGACATTTCCTTTGGCAGTCAAAGATAGTGATTCTGGTTGCCAGAGCTAAAGCTTGCTATGTGAGATTAGGAAGATATCCTGTCCTTGCTAGGATCTTTCTGTTTGTTTGTTTGTTTTATCTGAAATGTTATCAACTTCATTTACCTGGCTTAATGTTCCTTTGCCGTCTGTGACATTACTGAATCAATAGAGGGTAATCGTGTCTGTTAGACCCCTATTTCACACCCACCTCCCCTTCCTCCAACCTGTGTAAAGCATGTACTGTCTTTCCCTCCTGTCTTGGGCCCCTGCCTATGTTTATAAAGCAGGCAATCCAGGCTTTCCTCCAGCTCTGGTCCTCACTGTCCAATCCCCTCCGTGTCTTTACCCACTAGTTCCTTCCAACTGCACTTTTAGCTCCCTATCACGGCCATCTCCTCGTATCTGCAGGGGTCCCTTCTCATCAAATGCAGCAGATGCTATGAAAAGACAGAGGAAAGGAGGAACACGAAAGTGAGAACTGTGTATTGAGTTCCTTTCCAAGCCAGGCCCAGGTTTCGTGCATATTATTAATTTCTCATAACAACGCTATAAAGCAGGCATTATTACCCTTTCATTATAGGTAAGAATAAAGGCTTAAGCATAAGGTCACACTTCTAATAAATGGTAGAGCTGAGATTTAAAGCTAATTCTATCTGAATCCAAATCTCATTCTTTCTACATGACCACACTGCCTCCCATAACTTATGAGGCATGTCCTGACTTAAAACTAAAATCATTAGCCTCAAACCCTGATGCATCTTTGGGCGTGGACTATACAAAAAAAAGAAGGGCGAAGTCCAGAGGAGAAACTGAGTTGGGTCTAAAGTTGGTGACTGTCCCAGGCAGGGTGAATAGCAGGAAGAGATCTTTCCCTTGGAAAGAAACATTTCAGATGGCTACAGGGATTCATATTAAACAATGAATAGTAAATATGAATGACCTGTTGACCAAGTTCTTGTGAATATTGAAAGCATCAATAGCTCCCAGTTGGTTTAGGCTGTAATAGATGACAGACTCAGAAGCGGCTTCCCCTGGGATTCTCAGGATTGTTTTAATTTTTTTTTTTAACGTTTATTTATTTTTGAGACAGGGAGAGACAGAGCATGAATGTGGGAGGGTCAGAGAGAGAGGCAGACACAGAATCTGAAGCAGGCTCCAGGCTCTGAGCTGTCAGCACAGAGCCCGGCGAGGGGCTCGAACTCATGGACCGCGAGATCATGACCTGAGCCGAAGTCAGACGCTTAACCGACTGAGCCACCCAGGGGCCCCTAATTTCTTATTTTTTTTTTTTTTTACGTTTATCAGGATTGTTTTAGTAAGTTTCATGTATCTATCAGCTAAAAACCTGTTTAATAGTGATTTCCCATAGCAAGTGTTTCTATTTTTTGGTTTTGCCCCCAAATCATATTTATCAGTTCTTTCTTTTTTCTGATTATAAAAATACTCTGGGAAACCCAAAAAGTATTAAACAGCGTAAAGAAAAAAACCCCAAATATGTATATATGTGTTAATATAGCTGTTTTTTTCTTTAAATAAATTCTTAGTGTTAACTGGACATAGAGTGTGGTCATATTTAAAGATTTGGAAAGAACTGACAAATTGTATTTTTTAATGGCCGAAGGACATGAATTTAAAAAAATGACAGGCTAGAAATGCAAATAGGACTTTATTAAATTTTAAACGGCAGGTCATTTTTAACTGTCAAATAGAACTTTGTGCATTCATTCAAGTGCTGGCCATGTATCAGACACCAAGCAACTGCCCCTCACCCCCCGCCCCCCAAACAATGAAAGAAAAAACAATAGATATGGACTCATGGAACTTTTAGTCTGAAGGAAATACACCATTTATTGAACCCTTTTTGTGTGCCGGGAGTACACGAAGCACTTACAAACACTATTGCATCTATTCTCAAAACTCTATGAGGTGGGTATTTTTACCTACTGAATGAGGAAGCAGATGTTCAGAGACTGACTTGTATGAGTCACATGGCTATAGAGGCTGTGGGTGGAAGTCCAACTCTGACTAACTCCAAAGATCTCACCATTAGCTTCTGGGTGAAGGAATATTGGAAAGCCTAAAATCAATGGAGGAAACTTTTTTCAATATATTTCAAAAAAATTAAATAAATGAGTCTGTATGGTTAGGGTGTAGTGAAAGAGGTGCCCTCGTGTTGCTAGAGTATAAACGGATACATCCTTTCTGCAAAGCAATCTGGTAAAATATTAGAAGCCTTAAAGTATTTTCATCCCCTTTACCTGGAATTCTATTGTTTTAACTCTACCCTAAGGAGAGAATCAGAAATGTGATTAAAGATTTATGTACAATTGGTGGAATATTTGATAAAAAATTGTGTGTGTGTGTGTGTGTGTGTGTGTGTGTGTTGCAGATTAAGTGGCAAAATCGTGGAATGTCTGGAATTTGCCGCATCATAAACTAGGAGAGGAAAAATCGATTGAAGCTGGATGATGGGTACATGTAAGTTTATTCACCATACTTCCATTTAAAAAGGTCTTAAAATATGGAAAAAGATGATTCCATCAAGCAGTATTTATTATAGTGAAAAATCTGGTATTCCATGAGCTAAAATATGCCGCCATTAAAAGGATGTTTTTGAGAAAAATTTAGAACATGGAAACTGTTCTCAGAGTAATGTAAGCAGGATATAAAACTAGTAACACTTAATTACTATTATGTAGAAAGAGTTAAAGGGGATACACCAAAATGTTCATAGCAGGATTGTGGTGGTTTTTATTTTCTTGTTTATGTTCTTTATCGTTTTTTTTTTGTTTGTTTGTTTGTTTGTTTGTTTTTTTTGCAGATACCATTTATACTCAGAAAAAAAATTTACGGAAGACAACAGCCCCCCATCTATGACAGGTCCCTTATTATTGTCGCTGTCAGAGGTGGGTCACTGGTCTGATCAGCCAACGGAACCAATGTGAGCCAGTAACAGTTTGGAGTCATATATTAGGACATCACTGGCAGAGAGGAAATCGAACTGTTAGCTTGGTCATTTATACCCTATACTTCTGCAGGGCACAACCAGTTGTGTTTTTGTGAGACACTTCCATTATCCAGTGATGGAAGTATGTGAAAACATGTATCCATCCATCATCCAGCTTCAATCCATTTTTCCTCTCCTAGTCTAGTTTATTTGGGGGCAAATTCCAGACATTGCGTGATTTTATCACTTAATCTGGAACACACACACACACACACACACACACACAATTTTTCATCAAATTAACAGCTCTGCCTTAACTCTTCGGGTGTTTTGGAATTTTTTGTCTTTAAAAAACATTCTATTTTTGTTCTCACATATTCATGCATTTAGTAAGACCTGCTCTGTGCCAGGTACCATGCTAGGCTTGCTTTAAAAGATGAAAAGAGGGGCGCCTGGGTGGCGCAGTCGGTTGAGCGTCCGACTTCGGCTCAGGTCACGATCTCGCGGTCCGTGAGTTCGAGCCCCGCGTCGGGCTCTGGGCTGATGGCTCAGAGCCTGGAGCCTGTTTCCGATTCTGTGTCTCCCTCTCTCTCTGCCCCTCCCCCGTTCATGCTCTGTCTCTCTCTGTCCCAAAAATAAATAAAAAACGTTGAAAAAAAATTAAAAAAAATAATAAAAAATAAAAGATGAAAAGAACAGAATGCCTGCACTCAAAGAAGCTCAGTTTAATGAGAGAGGCCAACATAGATAGTTGTTATGTTGTACACGAAGACTGTGGGTAGAGGTAAGCTCAGGATGGACCACCAAGCTCAAGCTGGGGGCCCACAGTCTTTCTGGAAGTCACCTGCTGCTAAGATCCTTTACTTAGCAGTTCACTTTCTAGGTATAGTATAAATGGTGTGGTCATCTTCCCCACACAATTTAAAGTAGATTTTATTATTCTGCCCTTAATTCCAGGCTTTTATGGTATCCTTAATGAGATTTTTTTTAAGTTAATTTGAGAGAGAATGTGTGCATGCTCACACATGAGTGGGGGAGGGGCAAAGACAGAGGGAGAGAGAGAGAGAGAGAGAGAGAGAGAGAGAGAGAGAGAATCCCAAGCAGGCTCTTTCCTGTCAGCACAGAGCCGGATGGGAGGCTCTAACCCCTAATACCAAGATCATGACCTGAGCCAAAATCAAGTCAGATGATCAACAAACTGAGCCACCCAGGCGCCCCATGATTTTTTAAATAGTTTTACTGGTTGGTCAAGATCTGACTTTTACATTCAGATCCTACTTGTTTACTTCACTGTGTACAGCTTTTCCTCAGAGAAATGTGATCATCATATTTCAAATACCACAGACTTCCTTGGTTCCATTGCCTGCAAGCTGAACTTTGAACTGTAATTGCTAGAATTTGTCTTTACCGTAGTACTAACTTTCTAAAATAGAAATCAGCAGAAAATTAGTATGAGAAAAAGACAACTTTTTTTTCTGGAGCTCAAAACTAATGGCCTCAAGGGGCAATTAAAAAAAAAAAAGTATTTTTGCACTTTTCAAGAGTGCAAAGATCAATGATAGCTATTGCTTATATCTCGTGAAAAGGAGTTGCAGATCCAGTGATGCCTTCTAGAAATATAATTTTTACTTGGTATTGTTTATAAAAACAGGAAACATCATTCCTCCCCCTGTAAGATGCAATATTAACCAAATGGCTTAAGTACCGTGCTTAATTATCGTCTTCCACTTTCTGAGGATCTGATTTGAAACAAAGCACACAGCAGAAATAAAAGAGAAGTAGAAAAAATAGCTCAGTAGCAATTAAGAGCATTGAATTAGAGCTGGTGCTAGGAAATATGACTCAACCTGTAGGATTACAGAAAATCTTCAAACATTAATCCCATGGCTCCATCTACTAGAGGAATCCTATCCTCTCTTTGCCCCTTCAGAGATCTGATGAAGAAATATCCATTTCTTCACTGAAATCAAGTGGTTCATTAGCAACAGAGCCAGGAAATATTTTCACAGAAGGTAGGTTTTACGTCGAGTTTGGAAGGTGGAGGTTCAGGGGTGCCTGGGTGGCTCAGTCGGTTGAGCATCTGACTCGATTTCAGCTCAGGTCATGATCCCAGGGGCATGCGATCAAGCCCCACGATGGCCTCCGTGCTGAGAGCCTGGAGCCTGCTTGCGATTCTCTCTCTCTCTCCCTCTGCTCCTCCCCTGAAAAAGAGGAACTCAGGAAAAGGAGTACTCAGAAAAATTAAGACATGCTTCTTGGGTTGTCTGAATCCAAGTCCAATGTCTACCACTGTATATATATATATATATATATATATATATATATACACACACATATATATATGTGTGTGTGTGTATATATATATACACATATATATAATGTGTGTGTGCTATATATATATATATATATATGTGTGCGATATAGATACAGATATAGATATAGATATAGATATAGATATAGATATAGATATAGATATAGATATATCTACTACCATTTCCCCTGTCTGGGCACTGTGCAAGGTTCTAGAGGTAACGTTAGGAATAACATCATCCTGGCCTTGAAGAGCTGACAGTTTAGCGGGAAAGACAGATAAGTCACACATAGTGGGGTACAACAAGGCACACGTCACTGGCATGGGTTACATGTTACAGGAGCACCTTTAAATGAGTCGATAGGGCAACGCTGCTTGTTCTGAGGTTGTGGCAGTCAGGGGGGGGTCATTGAGTCTTCACAGGAGAGAGAACACTTCAACTAGGTCTTCAAGAACGGAGAGGAGTTTCTCTGGCTCTGGGATTCAGAGAGAGGATGATTGTAGACAGAAATAGCATCTTCGAATGCATAGCATCCTAAACGGGGTGGGCCGTGAGATGACCCCAAGATTCTGACTGTGGTGAGCAAGTGAACAAGAAAAGGAGCAAGTGTAAGAGAGTGAGGGAAGAACAGGATATAATGAGTTTAGTTTGGAGCTTGTTGAATTTTAAGTGTGTGGGGGTATTCCAAGTAGAAATGTCCAGGCAGCAGTCGAATGTATAATTTCAGTCTGGAGCTTTCAAGAGTGTTGGTAAGTAGAAATACAGATGTTGGAGTCACTTGTGAGTGATGGTGCAACCAGTGGAGATGGTTGAGGTCGCCCAGGGGGACATGTAATTCAAGAGGAGCAGATAATGGAAGATGGCACTCTGGAGCACCAACAGAAGCTAGCAGTTCTGTGGTGATACAACTAATGCAACCACTTATCTGCTTTATGGATGAAATGGGCTATTACAAGTTGGCCCAATACCTGCTCCACCATTTATAAAACTTCCCATGTAAAAGTGCAGAATAAATTCAAACAACTTACAGAAGTATTTGGAGCCAAAAACTGTAAGTTAGACTTCCTTTCACTTATCCTAAATGTATCATTTTAGCCTGTGGCTCCAAGGTACTGGAACTTGGAAACTGATTCCAAGTGTAACATGCCCACACACTGCGTTTCTATTGCATTGAGAATATCTTAAGCCATATTTTACATGTCAAATCTACTTGATTCATTTCTTTTATATTTTAGAGAGAGAAAGAGAGCAGGATAGAGGGGCAGAGAGAGAGAGGGAATCTTAAGCAAGCTCCACACTTAGTGTGGAGACCAGCTCGGGGCTCCATCCCACGACCCTGGGATCACGACCTGAGCTGAAATCAAGAGTTGGACGCTCAACCAACTGAGCCACCCAGGAGCCCTTATTTGATTCATTTGTAACTAAAGTATGATGACATCCAACCTTTGCCATTAAAATAGATCAACTATGAGTGACTGTCGTTGCCTGGCAGGATGCTAATTGTTCTTTCTTCCCCTCTGCCACGATGATTGGCACCAGAGAAGATTTGTGGGTGGGGTGAGTTTTGAACTCAAGTAGGACCTTTTCAGGAACTAATATTGGTGTCAAAGGAGCAATTGCTTGCAGATGGAGTGAGGCTCTCAATTCTATATTATTATTCTATAATTATATTATTATTCTATAATTCTTGGTCTTGTGAATACTTGTGAGGTGACTTCCTATTTTCCTTTTGTTTCAAGTCCACTCGAAAGAGTTAAACTCTCCTCTGTTCCTCAGTATGTTTAATGCATGTGACTATAATTAGAGACAAAAATATAATTACTATTTGGCACATCCTGACTATGCATGGTATCCTTGGTTTTATTCAGAATGCACACAAGGCAGGAGCTGCCTTGTTCTGGAGGAGCAGCTTTGTGTCCTCCCAAATCTTCTTCGTAATAGCAATGGTAATGTTACAGGACCTTTAAGCCCTCTGAGGAAAGAACTTTAAAAAAAAAAATTTCTAAACATCTATTTATTTTTGAGAGACAGAGCGAGACAGAGCATGAGTGGGGGAGGTGCAGAGAGACAGGGGGACACAGAATCCAAAGCTGACTCCAGGCTCTGACCTGTCAGAACAGAGCCCGACGTGGGGCTAGAACTCACAGACCGCGAGATCATGACCTGAGCCGAAGTTGGACGCTTGACTGACTGGGCCACCCAGGCACCCCTGAGGAAAGAACTTTTTTAAAACCTTAGTTTTGGTCTTGCTGTGGGGTGGATGGAGGGAGGTACTTATTTCATTAAGCACTGGCTTGTTCCTGTAGTTGAGGATAAACTGGGGACAGGAGAGCTGAATGCCTGGGGAAGAGGGAAATGAAGTGATCCTAGACTTTGTGCCTCACCTTGGATATCGTGAGTCCTCTCCACCCCTTCAAGGCACACCAGTCCAACTGCCAACTCCCAGCACCGTTATTTATTTGCCTACTTGACAGGCTGGAAGTGCACGAGAATCATCACACCCCTGGGAACAGCTTCAACCAGTGATTGACAGGGGTTGGTGGGTAGATATCCAGCTCTCGTCCGTTGGTTTGGATAGCTGACGTGTCTTCCTGACGCTGGCTTTCCTGGCAGGATTACGTTCCCATCCCTCGCCGGTAGCTGGCCTGACAATACTCTATTGGCCGCCTTCCTGTGCTCGTCTCGCTTTTCCACCCCACTCGTGGTGTTTGCCTTCACTTTCCAAATAAACCCTTGCACTGGACTCTGTGTCTCAGGATGTGCTTCTGTGGAAAGCTAAGAACTAACATAGGTCACCTTGTCTTTCAGGGACAGGTTTCAGGCACCTGGCACAAATGCCCTTACGTCTCCAAGGCAGGCATCGGGAACAAGGCATCAAAGTGAAGGCGTTAGTCAGGTGCTCCAGATTGGCGTGCCCGTCACAGAGCACCAAGCAGGGGACTTGAAAGACCGTGCTTCGAAGGGCACTGCCTACCTTTGATTTCTTCCTCTGTGTTTGATGCTGC